GATTTTATATGGAACACGTTTTTTGCTTTACGTACTTTTATTTATACGCGATGGAAAAATCGATTCTTAAGTTTTTAGTTTTAGTACTATTAGAAACTTTAATCAAAGTAGAATATAGTTTTTATATTTTCTTTATAACAAAGAAAAGGACGGTTATAGAATGGGTAAGGAATATACACTACAATATCTTGTATAATTTATGCTGCATTCTGGGCAACCATCAAAACTTTGTTTCTTCACAGACTGCTTGTAGAGACTTCACACGTTCAATAATACTGTCAGTACCAACAAATGCTGACAATATTATTGATCGTACGTGATTAATATTGATGGATTGATATAAAATATCGACAGTGAGCTAGATTTTTTTATTTTCGAACATCAGTATTCCCTACAGCAATATTCATGCTTGAGAATCAACAAATCCGGATTACCGTCAATAATATTGTCAGTATTTGTTGATACTGACAGTATTATTGACTATGTAATGTTCGTAATATGCAGAAAACTGAGCTAAAATATCAATAATAATAATTGTGTAAAGTTATAAAATACTGATGATTCGTGTCAATGTTAATGATTCAATGATATTGATCAATATTTTATTAATCTTGTGAGATTTGCATTAAATGTTACAATACTGATCTTTAGTATTTATTGCCTTATAATGATAAAAGCTTTATCTCAAGTTTTACAGATAGCAGATATAAATAAGTTTTACAGATTTTGTAATTTCAGTCTAGCTTAAAAGCTTTGAATATGACTTTCAAATAATATAATTGAGCCAATTTTAATAATGAAATGTTTGTTTCTCTATATTCTATAACCACAATCTCTTTTTTACCTTTTCAGTTTTTTATCAATTACGTTCGTTCTATACATACAACTATCTACATAATTAGTAATCTCTGTGACTAACGATCATGTATAATTAAAAGTAATTATGTTACAGAAATATCTACTGAGTTTTAATAAAAATAAATGATATTCTGTGACCTCTTTTTTGTGTTTATTAATGTCATTATACATAAATTTAAATAACTTATAATAAATTTATCAAAAAATGCTTATCATAAAAAAATACAATTTATTTTATATTTATAATATAACAATTTCATATAAATATTTCCTTAGGAATTTAATAAAGAAAATCACAGATTATTTTGAGTGTGTTATAAAATGAATGAAGATTATCATAACATTGGTTCGAGATGCAAAAAAAAAGAGAAGTGATGAAGCAATGACCCATTTGAATGAGTTGATCAGGATCAAATCAAAATAGAATAGTGAATACTTTATTCTGTTATGAGAAATCAGAACAGAACAAGTCTCGCGTGGGAGAAACCGGCAACCTCCGACGAGCCAGTAATTGATTACGTCATGATGCCAAGAGGAGGATCACCCCGCTGGAGAACAAGAAGGAAAAGGAGAGGCCGACTATATAAGTCGAACGGGGTGGAAGAAGTCGGACGGATGATGAATGTGCTGTCTGAGCCGTCGCGTCAGCGAGGCTCTGTTGCCCGTTTGTAAACGAGCTTCCTCATTTTTTCGCGACTACGTGCGCTGCCAAAAGTATCAAACTGTCTGCGCGCATTTGAAAACACTTCGCTCATCGATCCTCGATTAGCAAAATTCACTGACTATCCGCGATTAGATTTTCTAACATATTTCTTTTTTTCATACATAAAGTAGAGTATAGTCGTAACACATTACTAGAATTATACTACTTACACATGTTAATATGTATGCATAAGATGGCTTTTCAGAAACAGCTGCGTATTGTACGATATAATGAGTTACTGGCACTAAGTTTGATAACGTAGAACAAATGTTGCATCCTTGATCTATTAGCCGTTCCATATCTACACTAGATAATGAAATAGTGTAGTGGATACACATTTTCAAAGCGATTGCCACTACTTCTAATTATTATAGTCATACGTAAGGACCAATGTCACTTTTAACAAGCGTGATCTTCAATGTGTTTTATTTTATGTAAAAATCTAATTTGTAAGAATCATTTACTGTAAAACAAACTTTTCCGTTCCCCATCTGCGGTATTTTAAATTATGACTTATGTACCGGTAGCAAAAAATTAAATAACTTAAATTAGCACTAGAGATGTGTGTACAATCTAATAACAACATCCCTTCAGAGATCTATCTAGAAATGGTCAGGAAAAATTCCATGCGCGATCGATGCAAAAGGGTGTTGGGGCTAGAAAGCGAGAAGGGATCAAGGGACTAATGAAGTCCTAATAAACGGCGCCGAAACTCAGACAGGCGCGGCACCCTTCCAACTTGATATTTAATACAAACGTTACAATATCAAAACACGTCCTCTGGGCTCCGAATGCCCACTCGAGCGCACCCCTTGGTCGCGCGCGCGGTTAATACAGGCTGCCTAAAGGTGTAAGTATCGCGCACCCCTGCCGTTGTACCGGCTCTAATATGAGCATACACGCACATCCCTTCAGTTCAGAATCCGCGGAGAGACGACGAGGAGCTAACTGTAATTCCCTGGTGTTCTCGTGCTCACACACACAATGGCCGGATGGACGACGCGAAAGAGATGGGGGGGGGAGGGAGAGGGGGGGAGAGAAAGCAGAAACTAGCCCTCTAAAGACGTACCAGTTATTTGCGCGAGTTATTATCGCTCGTTAAGAGTCGGCATTCGAGAAGCGCGTTTAACAATTTGCTCACCATCCCCTTAGCCGACGCAGCGCGGTGTTCGCCCTCCTTTTCAGACTCCATTTGTTTCTTTAATTCACTGCTCCGCTTTTTACCCGCCGATTTGTGAGCTCTGCGCGGTATTATCGGCGGATTCCTCCCAACCGAGCGAGAATTTCATCGCTTTCACCGTTTTCACATTCCTTATATCCGTTTTACGCAAATCTAATAGAGATGCGAAACAAATGGCTTATAAACTCAGCCTTCATTAATTCGTGAACAATAGGTTTGTTTTCTGTGATTGAACTAGTGTACACTTTTGGAATTTAAAGTGAAATAGGTATAATAATGTCTGACGTACGTTTGACAAACTTTATATTGAATTGTTTGTTTTTATTCCGGCACTAAACTACATTAAACTCTCTTTCTTATTTTTGTCAAATGTCAAACATTTATCTCATTTTAACTTCCAAAAGTGTATACTAGTTTAGCTACAGAAAACATATTTATATAAATAGCAAATTTGATCACTTGCATTATGTTATATTAATGGATATTAAAAGCTGGTATACGTAAAATTAACAAAATTACATGTAAAAGCATGTGAATATTTTAAACGATTGAATATCCTATGGACATTGTCACATTATTGAACAGAGTATACATGTATTATTCTAATGTCAAAATTGATTATATTATGCCACTGCATTTGATACTTTATGTAAAGCAGCTTTTAATGTACACTGATCCAGTGTATTACATCCATGCGAGTGACCGAATTTACTATTATAGTATGCGTACAATACACACATAATACGAGCGCGTGTGTGTATTACGTGTGTACATATATTACGTATGTGGAGAATAGATTCTCTTTCAACAAGGAAAGGCCCATTTATGACGGGCGCGCGTAGATAGACGCGAGAAATGGCTCGCGATTCTCGCGCCAGGCCCATTTTCGAAAGTCAATCGACCGTAAGCCCCCTTTTCGTCGATCGCACACGATCGTAAATCTCCCTCGTAACCCTCTGGGTGTGTGTCGCCCGACGCATCGAATTAGCGCCGATGAGAAATTTTTGACAACCGACGTTGCTTTCCCTAATGTACCTTCTTCTCGCGATCGAAAGCTACATCCGCGCTGAAATATAATTCTATTTGATAATTTTTATCAATGTTTTCATCGTCAGATGTAATCAACGATTTTTCCTCTTCCGTACTTGTCAGAAAATTCAACAAAAGTTTTACATGTAAAAACAGTTCTGTATGTTATATAAGATAAAAAAAAAGTCCTTTGTGCAAAATTAAAAAAAAAACACTTTTTATAGTTACTAGTAAGTAATTAGATTTGATATAACATGATTTAAGTAATAATTAAAAGTTGGCTTTAGATGTTGAATAGATATAATATGTAACATATAATATAATTTATCTAAGAAAATATATTTTTTGAATTTTAATTTAGTATTTATAATAATTAATGATTTAAAACAATTTTTTTTCTTTTAAAATCATTAATTATTATAAATACTAAATTAAAATTCAAAAAATATATTTTCTTAAATAAATTATATTATATGTTACATATTATATCTTTCATTTATATTACCTTAATATCTATTTTTGTGTCTTATTTCCAAATTCTACCTTTTCCTCGAAGACGACAGAGTTTCTATCCGAGAAAAATTAAGGCGTGGCGCTCTACTCTAAATGCTACCTTCGGATGGCATTCGCGCGCGGCGGTTGCGGGAATATAAAATATCTGCGCAAGAGAACACACGCCATCCTGGCGTTCCTCTCGAGTATCCCGCACCGACGTGTGTGACTGCCTTGTCACTGACACAATGAGTCGAAGATTATCTACGATGGGATTCGCTGACGTTACGACGCTCGTGGCCAACCCCCTGTACCCTCATCCTCCGCCTCCCCATCGCTCTCCCTTCGCCGAGTCTGGAAAGAAAGAAAGAAAGAAAGAGCTCACCCGCGGTCTTCTCCTCTCCTCTTGGGTTTCCGGGGTAAGTCTCCGCGGACGAGAGGAGGGAAAATACATGATCTATGGTGACAGCGGTATTGTTCGCCGAAATGCGAAAAAGTCTCCGGAGGCGGTGGAGCGTTTGAATTTTCCACACCCCTTACGCAAACGTCGTGCTCGTGGAAAGAGAAAGAATCAGAGAAAAAGAGAGAGCAAAAAGAAAGAAACAATAATTCAGAAGAAAGACAATTTGTTGTTATCGTAACTTGTTGCTAGCTGCAATCTGTTGCATCGTAATTGTTGTTACCCAGTTCTCGAAACTGTTAAGCAAAGAATAACCGAATAACTTTTGTCGTTTGCAGGACACAGCGGGGTAAACCAGCTGGGGGGTGTCTTCGTCGGCGGTCGGCCACTTCCGGACTCAACACGGCAAAAGATCGTCGAGCTTGCACATTCGGGCGCACGGCCATGTGATATCTCCAGGATATTACAGGTCAGCAACGGCTGTGTCTCCAAGATCCTCGGCAGGTTGGTTGCAATATTGCTTGTTCCGTTTGATATCGCGTTCTTAAATCCGATTAAATCATTGTATATCTTAAGCGACGTTTACAATAAGATTTTAAGGCGTAAAATTCGGCGTAAAATTTACACTGAGAAAAATATTCTAGTTAAACCAATGAAAAGACTCAACCAAAATGTCATTGTTGGTTTAACTAGAAGAAATTGACTAATCACAGTTGAATGTGAGGAGAATAATTGATTATGATGAATTTTTTTATTACTTTAAGATTTAAAGTTTAAATTTTATGCTTTAAAATTTCATTGTAGACATTACTTTAAGTAAGTTGAGCAATTATGTCATCAATTGAGAAACTTATTTCAAATCTTGCAGTTCTGCATGAAATATGAGCCTGCATGTCGGTTTGTTTTGCATTATAAATCGAGTAGATGTAGCTTTTATAAATTTCAATTAAAAAAACATTACACAAAATTACAACCGTGTCTGAGTCAAGAGTTAAGAGAAAGATATAAGTGAGTTAAACATTTGACTAAACGTTCTCTGTTTCATGAGAGATAATCAAGGTATATTGTTCAATATCGGCTCTGTATCTATTATATCTATCAATATCTATTATTCGAGTGTATTTAGGTTATCATAACATGCTTAAAGAGATAGACGTATAATATATTTCATTTTCAATAGCGACCTGAGCGTTCCACGTATTCCTACCGCATTGTACCGCAAATTATTATTGTTGTAGGTACTATGAGACCGGATCTATAAGGCCCAGGGCCATAGGCGGCAGCAAACCGCGCGTGGCAACGGCAGAGGTTGTCAGTAAGATCTCGCTCTACAAAAGTGAGTGCCCGTCCATCTTCGCGTGGGAGATTCGAGATCGCTTGTTGCAGGAGGGAGTGTGCACGAACGACAACATTCCGAGTGTAAGTACGACCTACATTCTATTCAATTATTTCTCTTACCGTTATTCGAATAAGACACCAGAAATTGTAGTGCGGCCATTCTATTATTACTATAGCCAATAGATTATAATAATATAATTGAATTATAATAATATATCTGAAAGTACTTGTCTGCATGGGTCTCCCAAATACATAAGTTGGCTTATAATTATTACACGAGAATAACCAAAAAAAAAAAGTATATTTTTTTCTTCATAAACAACATGTGAAAATTAATTTAATTAAAAAATGAAAGACTAATTTCTTTCTTTAAAACTATTTGATTGTCAAAATTTCTTTTTACTAAATCTGTGGAAAGGGTAATAAAGTTGATATAAAATGTGTTTTAATTTAATAAAAGCGCGTCACTTTTTATATCAGACAGACGTGAATATCAGACAGTAAATGAAGATTAAGTAGCAAAGATTCGCCAAACATCAGATCTTGGTTAATCCATAGTTAAAATTCACGGATATGAACCGATTATAATCTAATGAAAATGACAGAAGTTTTCGTGGAGGAATCGGTGTTGCGCGGCAGCGACGGTGGCGGCGGTGGTGGCGGCGACAACAATACAAAGCGCGTCGCAAAACAGCCGTAATGGAGCCTGACTTTCGGCTCGGCGGGTGGAGGTTGTAAACGCGCAGGCGTATTGTCAACGGGGGCTTTGTCTACTCACACAAAACAGAATCGCATTTACATAGATAGCGCGAGTCGCGGCATGGGGGGATGGAAATCAGTTTTCTGTGGGGTGGCGGCTGGTTGTACCGAGGATGTTTATGCGAGCCGATGGACTCGGGTGGGCGCGCGCGACCAGGACGACGTACAAACTCCTCCCCTTGTCGCGGCGCGGCCGATGTTGTTAACACGAGGCGGTTAATCGCGCAAACGAATGACGGACGATTTGGCGTTAACCGGTTCCGCCCCGATGAGCCGTTGCTCCCCCAACATCGTTCTTCCGGTCTTGCGATCGCACTCCACGTGGCCCGATAGAACGTGTATCATTAAAGTTAGAGACCCTCTAATAAGAGTCTGAACGTGAGAAAATGACTTTTGATTGATCCGCTATGTTTTAACAATTCCTGAGAGAGAAGAAAAAAGAAAGAAATAGATAAGAAAAAAATAAAACGGAATGAGAAAGATAAACAAATAGGAAATCCATGTCCTTCTCTCTCGCAAATTTTTATTAAAACTACCATTCTACCATCCTACCATCCTATATACAACTACCATCCTATATACAAAACTACGGTTTGTGTTTAAATTCTAATTAAAGGATCGTGCCTTTGATCAACTATAATGTGGATAGCAGATAATTGATAACATTCTTCTCTTTTGTGACAATTTTCAGAACATCTTAAATAAATTGTTTAAATAAATTATTTTTGCTACGCATTACTCGAGTTGTTAATTTTTACTAGGCGAATAAATTAGGATAAAGACAGACGAAATGAAGTAAATTCAAATTAGAAAATGATTCATTTGAATAAAGAATAAAGTTTCTTTATCCAATTGCATCTTCAACTCATTGATTTTTAATCATTTATAGTTCAAAATTTTATTATCTATAACTGAATATCTTTGTTAAGAAAGTAAGTTTAAAAGTAATCGAATTTTTTAGATTTCTATTACCACTACTTTCAAGAGATTCAGATCATATTGTCACATATAATGACTAGCGGAAACATGTACGTTTGACAGCTGAAAAAGCATCTAGAGACCAAAAAGAATACCAATTCCTGCAGAATCAATTAAGAGATTGCTTGAAGATGGGCGACGCGCGGATCAAAAGGAAATTCTCTGATATCTCTTTCTCTCTTTTTTTTTTCTATTTTTCTTCCTTCGACCTGGAAGATCTTCGTGTACACCCCTCGCACGTTCGGCATTCTCGACGGTGCGGCGCGGCGGGGTTGGTTCTTCCCGTATTCGCGTATACGGCACGGTACCGCCGTTGCCATGGATATTTGCATGCGTCCAATAAACGGTGGCTAAGGGGCTCTCGACTCGCTTAGGGTAAAAAGCGAAAGAGGGTTGCTAAATTCTCTTTCTCCCACGTTACTCTACGCCATCTCTCCTCGTCTGCCGCGACGTCTCCTTCGTTCTCGTCTCGTCTTCCCTTCCTGAAGTTGGCTGACTTGCTCCCTCGCGCCTTCGTAATAGCTGCGCCGAGGTGTACACGAGTCACCCTCGCAGAAAGACTACGAAAGAAAGTCTCTGGTTGGAGAGTAAGGAGGACAGAAAGGATGACGGTAGAACTGAGAGAGCATTCTTATCGACGCGAGAAAAAAATGTCAAAGGCTCGCTCTTACCCGTGAAAGAAAGCCGTCGAGAGTTCATCCGCAGCTTTTTCTGTATAGCACACCTCCCCCTTCCCAAAAATTTTAGTATCCACGTCGAGGAAGAGTAAAGCGATTCATGTGAAACAATTCGCGAAAGTAGTGACATGGCTTTATCATCATGGAAGCAAGTCTTTCATATAATGTTTAACATGGAGTATAAAATATTATTATTGAATATCTATAAATTATAACTGACTTTGTGGCCATTTTAAATAATAGATGTAACAAAGAAGATATTAATAGACAGAAGAAAAAAAATCAGAAGAAATAAGAAATTAATGTAATTAATATTGTATTTGTAAAAACTTTTTGAGGAACAAAAATTTTCTTCTAAATCTTTCTATTTCATAAATTTATGTCATTTTCTTCACTCATTAATTTACTTTTATAAATATAATATTTAATATTCTATTGACGGAATCACAGTCCTTTCAACTATTAATATAAAAAGAAAGTGGGATGAAAAATGGCAGGAAAAACGATCAATTTAATATTAAATAACAAGTATGTTTTACGGCAAGTCGTCAAAGGAGCCGCGTGACTTTTAAGCGGTAACGAGACGCCAGCACAAACAGCGACGTCATAGAATTTCGCGTTTTAACAAATTACAGGAGGCTGCGGACTCCGGTACGCGCCTTCGGGGCGTTGGAGGATCAAAGCCAGCGCGTAATCCCGGCCGCGTTTGAGCATCCTGCGAGCGCTTCTGAACTTGTTGTGGGCAAGATTAACGTTTCTTTAATGGTCCGTGTAATATTCCATTACGTACAGTTCGCTCGAGAATTATTGCGCTCACGTTAAGGCGAAACGAGGCGTCGAACGAGCGAAACGACGAACAGTCAAAAGGAATTCCTATCTCGGAATTCAAAGTCTCCCGATATTTTCGTCGTTTTTCATCGTTTGTCGTTTGAAAGTGGATTATAGTGGATGCATTTTATTGCAATAGAATCAGCACGTGTAAGAATGAATAAAATTCAAGAATTGTATTATCTGAAAAATCAAAAATCAACTCTTACAAAATCAACTCTTTGCATTCACAAATGTACGTAGAATCTATTTTTTTAATCTTCTGAGAAATAGATGTATATTAATACATTTGTCTTTGCAGCATTCGACATATACATAATAACACAAATATACTTTCACGCGACTTACGCTACTTAATTACATACTGTTTTTGTGAAACTCATTTTTTGAAATTAGAAGAATTTTGGAATCATCATGAGTTAGTTTTAAATATAGTATATAATAGTATATTCTAAATATAATATATAAATTCTAAATTTTTATCGCGTTACATAATGTAATAACATTGCGGGAGTGCATAGAATTTTCGTAACTATCGTCAAGTTCTAAAACTTTTGACCAGAATCCATTTCTTGAACGGAAGCACTCGAGGATCCCTCGATTCTTCTTCGATGGGGAGCGAAATAACTCGCGAACGGGATTGATTCGAAAACGTTTCTACTCATTTTCTCTGGTCTGCCTGTACATGTCTATTCGTGTGCGTGTGGTAGACGATGGAAGACCTCAGTTCGACGGAGAGGGAAGGGGAAAAAAGGAGGGAGAGAGAGAGAGAAAGAGAGAGAGAGAGACAGAAGACAGAAACGAAGGAACGTATTCTAGGCGAACCGTGGTGATTGGGGGAAATTTCATTATTCTCAGACATTACCCCCGTTATTGTAATGCCATCAAATTGGATACGCTTCGTACGCTCTATGGAACGGGCGAATATCTCAGTCTCTTTTCTTTCGCGAGTCTCTTCCTTCTTCCGCTTCCTTCACAAAGATACTGAAAAGACTCGTCTTGTTGTAGACTTCTTCACCTTGTCCTAATAACTTTATTCGGTATACATATACATTTTATCCGATCTATAGTTAGATAAAATAGGAAAACATACACTTCATGTATTTCAAACTTCCTGCTTCTATTCGGTTCTTTTTTAATCATTACAACACACCGTTATGGAGACATGAATTGATCTACGTGCGAAAAAAAAATTTACGTGAATCCATTTAAGTTAATAAGACTTTTCCTAAAATTGTATTTCTTTGCTTTTATTGAAAATATGTGGTCGCAATTAATCTGTCATCCATAACATCAAAATTTCTTATTATGATAATACATAGTTTCAAGTTTGTGGTTATATAAATTACTCTTTCTATGCTCATGACGTTTACAATTTTTACTATATATACCTATAATAATTATAGAAATTTAAAGTTTTATTTTTTAGTTATTATTTAAATCCATATTTAATGTCAATGATAAATTTTTAGATTTTTACTTCGTTTCTTACATACTTTACATACTTTCGTTTCCAAATCTCTTTAACAATCCACAGGAAATGTCGTTCGTATTTTCCGTCTCAGCTACGAGTGTTGCAATGGCCAGATTAAATAGATTACGCGAAAGCAACAGTTTTGCATGTGCGAAATTGTGTAGGCGACTGATCGCATTCGTCCTCTTTCGCGAGAAAGTCGAACGCGCGCAGAATTGCCGAATCGAGCCAATGGCTCGACAAACCAGTAAAGCCCGCAGGACGCGGAGACGGATTCGAAATGTCCTGCGGAGCCCCCGCTATCCGTTTCGTCGTGGAATACCGTTTCGGTCCCTGCCGGATTTGAATCTGGCACCCGGCGTGGC